GCAGGAAAAAAAGTCCGCCGGTGCTGTAAATTTATGGTGAACGACAGGTTTGAAAATAGTACAGATTTTCTGAGTAGTTTATAGTTCGCCCACCAGCGGGGTATCTAGAGCAAGTGGGCTTAAGAGGACTGAAGCAATGATTGATCAGAGCGGAACAGTGATGTTAACAAGAGCAGTAATGATGTGTGATGTTGTGACGGTGGAGCTATGACAGTGATAGGTGCAATCAATCATTCATGTAGAAGTAGTTACAGATAGGATGGCCTGCACACTGTTGCTTGCATCGGCAGAGGTTCATGTGCTCCCGGGGTTTAGCACATCTTCCGAGATTACACTAGAATTTTACAGGGCTCTTCTACCTTTGGTAAGCATACTATCCTACCTGGTGAATTCGCAGGCGTTTTCCCTAGCTGTACAATTTTCTCCAGTGCATGTTTTGGCGCCAGCAGCACAGTTATGGACTGCCAAAAACCTTTCAGCTAAGCGCCTGTTCTCACTCAAAGCTAGAGATCAGAACAAGATGGTTGGAAACTTATCTCTATCATTCGCTTGGCTCTACGACGAGCAGGGCTTCAGCTGTTGGGCCACCACCAGCTCGCGCACCAGGGTACGCCTACTTACCACCTTATCAGGCAATGTGTTTTCGCTGCATATGTCCTGCAGCTCCGACGAGTCCCAGGTTTATTCATAATTTGTGGTGGGTGGTCTCCATCTCAGTACGAATACGTGGTTTTGGATTGTTTGTGGAGCATCTGCAAAGGCCTGCAAGAGATTTACAGCGTCTAAAATCATTCCACACGCATTATATCATGAAGTGTTTGCTTGTAGCTCGCCCGTACGTCAGCAGACTCATGGACTTTCAGTCCTTGCTATACCGCTCATACAGCACCACCTTTCAATTCAGTTTCAATACTTTACATCTGCTGAGATGACGCATTACCCGTAGAATGGAGGATCGAGACTATGCTTGCATAAGCCTCTCCAAACAGACACTTAAATAAGGCTTTTCTTATATATTTGTATTAGCCGGATAAGCACATGCGACCGTGTGGTTTTTCAAGCATATAGACTGCGAGCCGCTGTAATTTAGATAGATATGTCTTTTATTCACATTCTGTCTACGACACACTGATAACAATATTAATTGGGAGAATACCGCCTTAGAAAATGCAATATGCCTTGTTATTTTGCATGCCTCACGGTGGAACCGCAACGCTGTGGATCTATGAGTCGAGCCGCTAAGGGGCCATACGCTTGTCGGTTTGCTCTAACGTGTAAGCACATTGCTGAGCGCACCTGATTGGCTCCTCCACTGGTGTAATGTACATGTCTGCCATTGTCACCGTGCTACGAATATAGTTACCTTGTTGATTTCCAGGTCTTAATGAGGCTTGAGGGCCTGACCAATTGCACGTTCATGACACCCAGGAGCAAGTATATATGATTGCTTGCACCAAACCTAATGTTCCAGCACTTTGGGGGTGCACCTAGCGTTGCTGGTGAGCGTCCATCACTGTTCCAGCATCAATCACATTTCGAGGACATAGTATTTTGCGTGGCACTTTGCTGACAAATGGCTGAGCAATGCAAGCTTTTAAGTGGCCCAGTAGCTTAACATAGTTCTTGTCCAAACGGTCAGCGCCACACCCACTGACAAAAAGGGCTCCAAATGGGGATCTCACATGCACGAACCCGATCAGTATACAATCAGCTTCTAGGCAAAATGCATTGTAGCAGTATCATCGGAGAGCAACAGACCCTACGGTTATAATCCATAGCGTTGGTGTATTCGAAGGTGCGCATGATTGGGAAAGGCTAAGCATACGTTTGCTGAAGGCTGTGGCCTATCTAAATTCCCCAGATGCTGCTTGCTGATGGTGTGTATAGTGGCTGCATCTGCAACCGTGTTGCTTGATTATTCAGGCATTATATTTTCTGCAAATGACGGAAACATCTATTTGCCTGTGGAAAAATGAAAAGCGCACTGAATGACCTTGTTCGTTTCACAGTATCTGCCGACTAAATGTGCGAACTAGTGAAACAGGTGGTAGTTGGGTGCAGAGCCTGCTTGCGTAGATGTGTGTACACCAGCAAGTCTATTTATCAGTAGTGCTTTGCACACCTCAACGCAAGTGTGAAAATTGCATATACATTCTTGTTTGCATCATATTTGTTTACTTAGTAGACAAGCTTTTGCTTGGACCACGCCTGCTGTGCTCTCTAATTTCGCGCCTCTGATGTAATAAGGAGAAATTATCAGTATTGTAAACAATCTCATGCTGCTTGCTCTAAAAGTGCACATTTTTCGGTGGTTATTAGAGGGGACAACAAAATGTCACAGGGGCAGCAGGAAATACATTCGCCGCATTGAGTTAGTTGCAACTGGCAACAGTCGATTCCAGGGCAAGTCGAGGAGCCCTTCCTCTATATTTGCGTATACGCGACCTCCACATTTAAAAATTGCTGTGGGCACAGTGAGTGCGTTCGCATGTTGCCTTGGTGTGATGCATTGTCCCCAAGTCCTAGCGGTTCGATGTGAATTTGTGATTGTCATATCCTCGTAAGTGTGTCACACACATTTTCGTATACCAGAAACATGCCGCAGGCCTTTTTTCGTTGAATTGCAATACATCATATTACACTGCGCCTAACTGCACGATTATTCTGCTTCAGAACCTCACAGAATAATGAAGTGATTCCTGATCAATGTACCAGCTCCACGCCTATCTGAAACTGCAAACAGTGGTCCATGGCCGGCTCAGTGGGCGCCAAAAGCGTAGATCAGCAAGCGATTACCTCTAATGTACATACAAGACAGCCCCTAAAGGCTTCTATATATGTAGAAATGCCTGATTGAAATGGGCGCATCATGAGCAACAAATGCACCTACCAACATCAGTAGGAATTGAAGAAGCAGGCATAATGTGGTCAACAATACAGGGATAGGAAGCGCAATCAGTGGGAGAAGTTTCATGATGAGGAGATCAAGCGGCCTTGCCAAAACTGGTGGCTCTTGCCATGCACTGCGGCCCTCTCTAGTGCAACATTACCGTCACGTGCTTTAGGGTAATGAGTATATATTTTTAGTTTCCAAAACACAGCAACAAAGACAAGTAACCACATAAGTAATTCGTCGTAGTGCTCGGCGATTGTGTTGTGGCAACATTCACAACTGAGGCTCTTCTAGTCCGCTTCCCGGTTTCGTCGCAAATTGTTCTCATATATGACGCATTGATTGGTGAAAGTTGACAAGTTAATCAGCGGCAGAAGCGAGTGCTGGCCTTGATAATTTCTACTTAGATCTGAGGGGATATAAGTGAAGTGCTGGTTGTTGGTTTTGTAGAGCATTAAGCTTTGGTTTTCAGTTTCAAGGTCTCACGTGCATGACGAGTGGTTTAGCACTGCTACTGCGGTTTCGCAGTGCACTTCAATATTTAAGACTGTCGTGACCGGATGCTTGATGAGAGATGTCTGCCGCCTTCGATTTTCGAGGCCGTCGTCAAGACGTCTTGCCGCGTTTGGCAGGTGGTGAGTAAACTCGACAATACGTATCAACACTCTGTTATGATCGTTGGTGTTTAGCTTATTGGGCCTGGACTGCATGAGTTTGACTGCGCTTGTACAGCGCACACTGTCGCATATCATATCTGCTTTACCCTCTGCCTCTGGCGCTCTTGAGCCTTGATCGCAATGGCCACAAGAAGCGGCAGCTTTTTTGTATTGTCCATTACCGCGCGGATGAAAGAGTCAGCACGGGTTTCACAAAAACGTAGAGGGACGATATTATCTGGTTTCATTGCATCCTTTAAGCAGGAGCAATTAAAAGTTATTGCCCACTCACAGGTGGAGGTGGCGGGTTTACAGAGGCAACTTGTCGAGATGAGAGCAAATCCGATGAGCCTATCCCTTGTCAGTCTCTCGTACACGAAGACGGAGGTGGTATGCAGGATTTCTTGAACAAGATAGAGACATAGCTTCTAGAGGGAGAAACCAAAGTTGCTCAGTGAGGCGCTGAAAGCAGATAAACCTTCTTGCATTGCATTATTAAATTGTCCTGGGTATACCAGTGCAAAGATGGAGGATTGAAAAGTTCTTCCAGAACAACGCCTCTTAAGGCGCTTTTGTAGGAATAGACGAGAGGTGAGGGTTAAACTGGCCCAAAACAAGAGAGATCATGATGAATACTTTGTGGGGCTTTTACAGCTTGTTTACTCGGGCATTGTGTCACATTCCGAAGGTGCCTTGGGAGAATAATTATCCAGTCTGCCAGATAAAACACAAGAGCAACGACAAAGAGCTATCCTTGATTGAAAGGACGCTGCAACTACCTTTTGAAGCTCAAAGACCCTTGGGAACAGTTATGCGCAGATCGCCGCAGATACTGTCATTATATAGGAGATGCACAACGCCAGAGTCAACAGGGGACCCGTAAAGATAAGCGAGTACCCAACAACGCTACGCTGTATTGTAGCGGGATAGGCGGGCAAGCCTCGACCGAGGAGGATCAACGAGAACGGGGCGATGAGGCTGCTGTTACGCAATAATTCAGGACAGTTTGGAAACGACTGGTCGCCGCAGAATCGCGTTTAGTGTATGCTAGGGGAGTTGCTCCTCAATCATAGAGACAAGGACTCCGATAGCGCCAAATGCTCAGCACCACTAGGGCGTGAGCCATCAAGTAAAGAGCCACTCATCTGGGCACCATTTGGCGCAGACGAAAAACAAAAGCCTTCGAATTCTCGAGCACTAAAGTAGTGGGAGACATAAGTACTCGGAGCAACCGTGCTGCGCATGGATTAATATGTTCCGGCGCCACGAAACCTAACATCACCTTAGTCTTGCCAGCTTGAAGGCAGCGTATCTGTCCCTAGAAGATAGACCAAGAAGGAACCAAGGAGACCAAAGCAGAAATGCTATTGGTATGTCCAGCTAAATTGTGCTTACTGGATTATGATGAACCGAAGGTTGGCCATAGAGGATTGAGGGCGATGAACGCATAGATGGAAGTACGTCAGAGACCGAAGCAGGCAATCGTGTTAACGGATATTGCTATACAGTATTCGAGGGTGAGGAAGAGCAGACGGTGGCCTGGAAACGTCATTGACGCTTGTGAGCTACTGTGTGCTACTGGGCGCACAGCAGAGTTGTTTCTCGGCATAGTGGAGCACAAGCATGAAGAGCTGTAGTACAAACGAGTATCCGGACTCCTGATTTGCCCGGCACTCGTACAGCGCCTGGTCCTGGATGTCGGCTTCCCACTTCAGGAGAGTGGATGTAACCCGCCTAACACGCAAAGCTTACAAATAAATCTTGTTATGCGGCCATCTATGTGGTGTGGCACATTATTTTAGGGCGAATACCTAGTAGGGCCTTTTCCGTGTGGCTTTATTGCGAGGCTAGGCTCGTTTAGCAGACATCAGATATCATGGTATTTCTGGTTGGAGACGCTGCGTGAGGATATGAAGCGCCACTGCTCTGACCTGCCAATGCTGCCGCGAGAGAGGTTCGCTAGAGGCGCGTGACCTCACCTCCAGGACTTACTCAGCAATTGCAGCAAACCAGGCATATGATGCCCTTGCCCAACAGGCTGCTCCCATGTCGATGGCAGAGGCGGTTACTTTACCACAATCCCCTTCTGAGCGCTACAAGTCATTCCTGAAGCCGAAGCGCGCGTCTCTATTACAAGCCACACTTCAGCAGCCGCCCACCAGCACTGCGAACCTCTAGTCGGCATTGCAGTCCTGGATTCTCTCCTCACGATACCTGTGCCTGTAATAAACACGGCTAATTCTCTTCTCCACACCCTACAGGGTGCATTTATTCCCTATGTTCGTCGAGCATCAACGTACTCTCGGTCCAACAGTCTCAACTCGCGAACCCCCCTCACTTTGGAGGTGGAAGGCGAGGCCGACAAAACGTCTGGGTGACCTAGCGCACTGTTAAAACACACGTATTTGGGTATTTAAGTAGACTTATATTAAGCTTAAAAACTGGCGTCGCAGGTTCTGATACCCCGTCGAGCCAAAGCGCACCTTCTTTCCAGTTGCCGTGCAAGGGAGCTGCCTCTCAAGCGTCCTGTTGATCACCAATTACATGTATCGGCAAGACTACGAACCTCCCTGCTGATAAACCTGGACTCCACACCGCGATTACTACACACTATTCTTGAAACGCTGGGCGCCCTGCTAAATTTTTCGACGCTTTACGTAGAAGCCGGTCTTTACCAGATAAGGTTTGCACCAAAAACGGACAGCTAACAGACTGTTTTTTGTCAAGTAGTGAGTCTCTTCGAGCTCAAGGTGTTGTTTAGTATCCAAGATGCACGCGCCTTGTCGAAGACCAATATCAATGCTTTTCTACAAATTATTTTGGCCCAGGGAGAGGTTGGCTATTTTGACATCCATACAAAGAGTCTCGATCTAGTCTCTCACGCCCAGCTGTTATGGCTATTGCTGAGCACCTCCTAGCGGCATCTCTGTACTAGGAGTTCATAAGTTACAATGTACCAAGGCAGGAGTTCGAGTACTTTGGCTACTCCATCGGCGGGCCGGGAGTTAAGGGTTCAGCTGAAAACAACATGCAATTTCAATCTGTCCAGAGCTACCTCCGTACGAGACGCAAATGCAACAGTCCTTCGCGACTGCCAACCATGGCGCATATTCGTGGTGCCCGAGTTCGCCGACGTGGCATGGCCGCCCGAAGCACATGACACTACCTGGACTCCACCGCATACTTTCGCTGTGAAGCAACTCAAGACGCGGCTAGTCAAATATACGGTTTGCCCAATTTCCCGATTCCACCAGAGCTGATGACCTTTGAACTACTGCATCAGGCTATGCCTAAAGTTCATTATTGGAAGCCTACAACGACCGAACGCTATTTGAACCAGATCAGAAAGTTTTTACTGCGGAAGTACTCCGTGTCCACCGAAGATTCAGACGTTAGTCAGCGGTTTGAATACGTCGGGTTACATTCTCCCCTGTGCAAAGGCTTATCCCACACAGATCACCAGGAGTTGACCTACTTCCAGCGGTCAACCACCTAATCCACAACGAAAACACATGGAGCATTGGCTTGGTTTTCTAAACCAATTTCAGAATCTCATGATCAACTCTCTGAAAGGCACGCGCTACTAGACTGTGGACGCTCTCGCCGGTCATCCGCGATTTGAGTGGTGGAGATGCCCTGCACCCACTCGTTACTGCTTGCATCATTTTCTACGGGTGGGTGACCGCCATTACTGCAGCCGCTGATGCACCGGAACAGCAGCATGGGAATAGGGGCCGTCAGGCAGCTGTTGTGGAGGTGCCAACTTACTAAGGGGTGCAAGCGGTCCCCTTCAAAGCTCCCCTATCCCAATCGTTCCCTGAGCCAGCGTCACAAATGGAGGCACCAGAGCGGGAGCCCGATATGTCCTCGTGCACCGGACTGCTCAACTGCAGGGACGTTATTGCTCAACCCCCGGAAAAGGTAGACCTTAAACCGCGAGGACTTAACTTCTTTGTCCCTCGATGATGACTCGATACGAGCCCAAGCTTAGGCTGCTCAATCCAACTGGCCCGGCCTCATCAAACCTTCTAAAGGGGGTCGAGTGGCAAAAAGGCTAAGGGGGTCATTCATACTTTAAATACAGCACAGAAAGCGCTTCGTTTCATCGCTCATTCTCTGCGCATTTGCGTACTACATGTGGCGCATTCGCTTTTCTCCGCTATCTAGGTTCTATGCGTTGTCCGGAGCCATGACCGCGTCATTCCCCCCCAGACGTCTTGCTTGCAAACGATGTAGTCACGTTAAGCTACAATTCATCACGGATCTTCCTCTCACAATGCGTGGCACTATGCAAAATTATTCTAATGCCCACGAGGTGTGCTGTGGCAAGCCCGCACGGTACTTATTCAGAGGCCAGGCAGCTTACAGCAGCCACCCCGCATTGCTGTCAAACGATTCAGTCGCGTTAAGCTAGACTTTATCACCGAATCCTTTGAAATAATGACAATACCAGTTCAACTTCCGTTTAGAACACCCACTTATAAGGCGACACAGTTCACTTTGACTACCAAGGCTAGTTCAACAGCGAATACGGTTCAACTGGCCGCATCTCGCCAATTTTGATTTCATGGTGTTTTAAAGGTCCTTCTTGATCGGGGCCCATAATATCACTCTGACAAGTGGGAGCGTCTATGCCAGCCGTAGAACGTCAAGCGGGTGGTGGCACCCGCACATCACCTTTAAAGGGACGCTGAACAGAATGCATTGACAGATGAGGCGAAGTTTGATTCCTTTATCCGATAAGAACGAGCACCAGATCGTGCCTCTCGCTCGTGCGGTCGCATAGAGTACCACCGGTGACCAGTGAGTACTATACTACGGCATCACCAATTGAGATGATTAAGAGCGTTGCGCCAAGCTCACGCCCAATGACCAGGTTCTACAAGCAGCTGTGTGAGCCGACCTAGAGTCATTTACTTCATGCCAAATGACAGCAAAAGTTTTAAGCTGATTTGGAGCTAGGGAAATTTAAGGTTACTATCGATGTCGAACTGTGGATTAGTGCGTGCAATCTCCCGGGTGTGTCCATCTGCTCTAAGTCAGGGTCTCGTTACTGCGGACCTAGTTTGATTTTCTAGTGGGTATGCAGGGTTGCCTACAGCGCTGCCGTACCTGCCTGAGACAGGCACCACGATGTATCCCTCATCGCCGCGCATGAGAGCTTGATTAGGCGACATTCAAATGACATTTCAAGAGCCAGCAGTTGGTCGACTCTACATTCAAGACACCACAGGGCAGGCATCAGCCACCTAAAGAGTGGACTGCAGTGCGACGTATAAGAGTAAGGGTGACTCCCTTCGGTATCGGCGCAAATGACGCGGCAATCCAGAGGACTTCACTTTCTGGAAACAGACCCAACCTTACCAATTGCCGGCTTCTCTCCCCGCCTGGCAGCCGAACCAACTCAAACGGCCCCAACAGGCAACAGCTGGCTCTGCCAGTTTCCCATAGGTGAGGTTCATGGGAGGATAGCAAGTGGCTGAATTAACGCACCCGCTTGGGGGTCCTACCAAAATTTTTGAGGCGAGCAGGCTCTAAAGGCATAAATGTACGTAGACGGCAGCTGTAGAGGCAAGCCCCTGGAACCCACAATGATCTCTGCAAGACACACGAAAGACGATACCCGTAAAAGAAACTTGCAGCTGAACCGGCTGACGGAACACGCGACGGTCACCATGGGGGGAGGGCTCCTTGTGAGACGAATGAAAGTGTAGTGCAGGACAGTACGCTAGCACGGTCTGAGCAAAGAAATAAAGACATAAACAATGACTTCCAAACACAAAGAAGCTCAAACAAATAAACATTACACCTTGGCTACGAGTGCGAGACATGGCCTCCATGGGGCGTAAGCAAGCGGGACAAAGTATTACGTCCAGGAGCCCGTCTAGTGGATGACTCCAAAGTCTAGAGCTCGAGCACTGATTTCCTCGTAAACAGTACAAAGTGCTTCGCCGCTTAATGCTCTCTGCAAATCAATAACCTGCCTGCAATAGTGTAAGTGTCCGCCCAACAGACGTCAAATAAAGTGCAACGCTACCCGACTGCTCATTCAGAATGTAAGCGCGCTTTCTCTGTAATGTAGCGCCCACCAATAATAGTAGCCCCCACAATTGAAATCTGTTGTCCCTCGAGCTGCTAGTGGTGGGCAAGCTAGCAGGAGAAATTCTGCGGGACAGTGCAAATTTTAAAGTGTATAGCAGTGCCATGGTCAAGTCTCGCGGCCATAGTCGGTGGCATTGCCATTCAGCACCGCATATAGTTTTTCATCAGCGATTTCAAAGACGCTATGTAGGCATCAGCTTAGCTGCTCTACGATCTGCATGTAGTGCGTTCACCACATTCATCAAATGCAACTGTGGTTCTCACAAAACATGCAGTGCTTCGTTGGATATAGAATGCGGGCTGACTTTGCTGCTTTTCTTTAAGAGACACTACCAGCTTGGCGATCACTGGCACTGGAGTCAGGAAAGAGTCACATTAACGTGTGCATTGAGTAGCTGCCCGTAAACATGGATGCACCTGGTGTAGTCCAGTTGAATGCCAGTTGCATTGTTTGGAGTTTGGCGAGTGTGTAAAGGTCTGAGCGGCAGATCTACTAAAAACTGTAATACGCTCGACACCGAGACAGATAGTCACGATTTAAGAATCGGGGATCATCCAAAAAATGCTTCGGTACTAGCTTTTGGAAATGTGAAGGTGTACTTTTGGGTGGTAGGTGGACGTTTGGCGGTAGGAGGTGTTCGTAACAACTGTCCATATGGGCTTGTGGGTGTTTTGCCCTGCTGGAGACTTTGCCAGCTCGTTGAAGCGAACATATATCTGCACGCACGAGTGGCATGTAGCAAGTCTGCCTACCTCATGCACCATATTTGATGTACCCGATAGCTTCTTTTCCGTTCTGCCATCAATTTGCATACTCAGTGGCTTACCCTCTTCTACGAAACAGCGCATCTGCTGGCAGATGTACAAGCAGCCAGCGCATCGTGAAGGGATTACTGTTACGCATTCTAGGGCTGGGTTGGTAGGGTATACCAGCCGTAGGACAACGTAAATTCAGTAAGCATTACGAATAGCTTTTTATAAGTTATTAGATAGAAACTAAACTGGCAGCATCTGCTCTACGGCTGGCATGGGATATGTCTATGAGATTCAGCAAACGCAGCTAAGTACGAAGCGAA